ATGTGGGATCTTCCCGGACCGGGGCACGAACCCGTGTCCCCTGCATCGGCAGGCGGACTCTCAACCACTGCGCCACCAGGGAAGCCCTAAGCTCTATTTAAAAAAAAATAAATTTATTTATTTATTTTTGGCTGCGCTGGGAAAGCTCTATTTTATGGATGAAGGCGTGGCAGCTCAGAGAGGTTAGGTCACTCGCTCCAGGTCACAGGGCAGTCAGCGGCAGGAGCAAGGTCCCCCCAGCCCAGCTTGCACCAGAGCCCAGGGTCTTGACCACGCTGCCCACCACTTCCCTGCTGGCAGCAGCCTCACTCCTGTGTGCATGAAAAGTCCATGTCTCAGGAAGCCCACCATGACTATTGATTTGCATGACATTTCAGGTCATCTGACTTGTAGTCCTTCTTGCTCTCATTTTATCAGGGTTTTCCTTTCCAACTGGGCCACCAGCCCACACATCCCCCATCTCTGCGTCACGCAGGTTCACCTGCCTCGTGTTTCCTAAGAAGGTGCATTTGGAGAGTCGTCCAAGCATCCAGAGCTGCAGAAACGTCCCGACCGTTACCTCTAGTGACACCTCCCATGAACTGCATGCCTGTTATAAAGGGTTCCTTGGGGGCACAAAAGGATGCGTTTGTTCCAGGTGAGGGTTGGCTGGCGACCACGTGTCTCACCTCCAGGGATGCCATGGCACACACACAGTAACACCAGAAAAGCTGGCACTCACTCATCTTTTCAGGGACGGGAGTTACACAAATGCAGGGAAGAAACGGATTAAATCCTTTCTCTCAACACATTGATAACTTGAGAGACGTTAAAAGCCACCCCTTAATTGCAGATTTCTGTCCACAGTACACCAAAGACTTTCTAAATTATAAATATTCTAGCTCAATAGGTAACATAAACATTAATATTTACACATTTTTCATTTTAAAAATAGAAAATCAAAGTTACAGAATTTTTGAAAATTCTGCTTGTCTTTATCAGCACCCTGGTGTATTTCCCTTACTTCTGAAAGACTGAATTGTCCTTTACTCCCTCTCTTTTAAAGTTATAATATTCGAGCTTTTCCCTTAGGGATCTTGTTAAATCTTTTTATCCTTAGAAACTCCATTTTCAAAAACCATTCTATTTCTTCAATACTCTTGCTATTAAGGAAACTGCTCTGTTGTCACTCCAGTTGGTTTCACTTTTTGTTCGATGTCAACAAATGAAGAATACTTGGTCAGTAAACTGTGATTCTCTTTCAAAGTTTCCCTCACCTCCAAGCCCTGTGGGAATCTACCACCCACTCACTCACGAGGGGGCTGCCCGTCCAGTGTCACAGCTTGGGGCGCGGCTGGCTCTTCGTAACCACAAGCCTGAGAAACAGGAAAAGGTGGGCCTGACCCTGAAACTCACACTTTGGTGGGCCGAGTACGAGTTCCCAGAGCTGAAGAGACCTGGGGCGAGCCCAGCGAAACCAGGCTGGAGGGGTATGTCTCAGGTCACTGACAGAACAACAGGGCTGCAGCTCTGCCGGGACGCGACACAGTCCCAGGGGTGCAAGTCTGGGTCAGGGGGTAGGGCCTGGTGCCCGTGGACGCAGGGTCCCGTCCTTGGAGAGTCCACTCTCAGTGCCTCCTCGGCAGGTCCCCTCAAATTATTTTTCTTCCCCGGATTCCTGGCCTAACAGATCTAGAAAGAACACCAAAGGGATGTAAGATCTTCTTTGTCAACTTTACACCTATTTACTAAAAACGAACAACAAAAATTAAAGTCAAACACACGCAAAGCCCTCCTATACCTTGGACACAAGTTCCATGTCTTAGAATCTTTCATAAAGTGATAGCTAGTGACATAAACAAAGACTTAGCGACAGGAGATCCCTGTGATTGTCTATGAAACCGATGTTCTAAATATTTCAAAACACAACGACGTGAGAAGTTGTTTAAGATTACAGGTTAAATGGAGAAAAAAATCCACATTGTCAACTGTGTAGAGCAGCACCTAATCTTGCTTGTTTATAGAAAGTACTGGGAGGAAATTTACCAAATTTTTAGCAAGTAGCTATCTCCAAGTAATGGAATTATAAACGATTTTTTTTTTTTTTACTTTAGAGCTTCCTATATATTCTATAACAGAATAGATCACTTTAATAATCAGGACGTAACTGTAAATTTTAAAATTAAGTTATGAAGCTGTGAGTTTACACATGAGAGGGAACCACTTTCTTTGGAAGCATCAGTCCGAGACTAAGGCTGGCAGCATACGCCGTGTGGTAGCCACAGCCTCGCAGTGTGGTTAATTATGTCCATGTGGGCATCACACCCTCTGGGTGAGAGAGAGACACACAAAGAGACAGAGACAGAGAGAAAGAGAGAGGGAGAGAGAGGGAGCGAGAGAGAATACGTGTGATTAAAATGTTGTGACTGATCTCATGAAAATAAGGGTTTAAAGTCCACTAAATGCCTTTCCGAAAGCTCTCACAGTTAGAGAAATGATGTTGGCTCATCTCAATGTCTGGGGAAAGAAGAGCTGAGAAAGAGAGGAAGAGAGGAGAGAAGAAACTGCAGACAGTGCTGACCAGGGGAGGCTGAGGAGGGGACGGGCAGGGGGCAGCCCCACCACCCGCCAGGGAACCCGCCCTGCAGCATCGTGTCTTCTGATCCGGGAAAATGATCAGATAAGCCACAAAAAATAGTTGTTGTGTGACAGTTTATGTTTAAAAATATATGTGTAGGGCTTCCCTGGTGGCGCAGTGGTTGAGAGTCCGCCTGCCGATGCGGGCGACACGGGTTCGTGCCCCGGTCCGGGAAGATCCCACGTGCCGCGGAGCGGCTGGGCCCGTGAGCCATGGCC